ACAGATTCCTTCATCCTGGGATGCGCCACAGACATCTCGGGGGAGACACTGCTGGTGTGCTTGAATATACCTGTTTAAGTTTGGAAAGAAGGATTGATTTACACAATTAAATTGGCAAATCATTGTAAAAGCTGTCTATCTACATTCTTAACACTGTTAATAAAACAATTCCCATTTAAATTACATTTTGTACACAAATGAAAGAGAAGTACTGTAGACTAAATAGGTCCCTCCAAAATTCATATGTTGAAGCCCTAATCCTCACTAGGACTACATTTGGAATAAAATCTTTAGCAGATAATTGGTGGTAGTGGTTCAGTCGCAAAATCGTGTCTGACTATTTGCAACCCCATGGACTGTAGCCCGCAAGGCTCCTCTGTCCATGGGATTTTCCAGGCAAGAACACTGGAGTGGGTTGTCATTTCCTTTTCCAGGGCATCTTCCTGACCCAGGGATAGATCCCAGGTCTCCTGCATTGGCAAGTGGATTCTTTACCCCTAAGTCACCTGAGAAGCAGGAGATAATTAGGGTTAAATAAAGTCATAAGAGTGGGGCCCTAATCAGATAGGATTGTGGCCTTATAAGGAAAGAGAGCTAGATCTCCCTCTCTCTATTATGTGATGACACAGCAAGAAGGTAGCAATCTGCGTAGTCAGGAAGAGGGTTCTCACCAGAACCCAACCATCCTGCACCCTGATCTAGGATTTACAGACTCCAGAACTGTGAGAAAAGTTTTTGCTATTTAAGCTCCTTAGTCTGGTATTTTGTTATGGCAGCTCTAGCTGACTAATACAAGAAGCAAACTAACAAAAGTATTCCAGAATAAGAATTAGATGAAGGAAAGTAACATCATGGCCTTGGAATTGTGGGATATACTTAAAAGCCAAAAAAATTTCAAAAGAAATGTTTAACATTTGATTTTCAGATTCTAAACAAGTCTTTGTTACCAAGAGACTCAGATGTATAGAACAGACTTGTGGACTCTGGGAGAAGGCGAGGGTGGGATGTTTCAAGAGAACAGCATTGAAACATGTATATTATCTAGGGTGAAACAGATCACCAGCCCAGGTTGGGTGCATGAGACAAGTGCTCGGGCCTGGTGCACTGGGAAGACCCAGAGGGATCGGGTGGAGAGGGAGGTGGGAGGGGGGACCGGGATGGGGAATACATGTAAATCCATGGCTAATTCATTTCAATGTATGACAAAAACTACTGTAATGATGTAAAGTAATTAGCCTCCAACTAATAAAAATAAATGGAAAAAAAAAAGTGTCTGTTACCTACATAAATATAGTCCGCTGATCTTTGACAAAGAGGCAAAGGCAATACAGTAGAGAAAAGACAGTCTATTTAAAAAACGGTGCTGGAAATAGTGGACATCCACATACAAGTATATGAATCTATTCACAGTTCTTGCACAAAAAACTAACACAAAGTAGATCATAGACCTAAATATAAAGTGCAAACTGTGAAATTCCTAGTAGATAATAGGATAAAATCTAAATGACTTTGAATATGGCAATGACTTTTTAGATGTAGCATCAAAGAGAGAGAATCAGCTGGATTTAACTAAAAATAAAACCTTCTGCTCTGCAAAAGACACTCATGAGAATGAGAAGACAAACCATAGACTAGGAAAAAATATTTGCGAAAGACGTGCATGCATGCTAAACCGATTCAGTCGTGTCCAACTCTTTGTGACCCGAGGGACTGTAGCCTGCCAGACTCCTCTGTCCATGGGATTCTCCAAGAAAGAATAATGGAGTGGGTTGCCATGCCCTCCTCCAGGGGATCTTCCCCACCCAAGGATCGAACCCACATCTCTTACATCTCCTGCAGTGGCAGGCGGGTTCTTTACCATTGTGCCACATGGGAAGCCCTTGCAAAACACACATCTGATAAAGAACTGTTGTCCAAAATATACAAAGAACTCTTAAAACTTACCAATAAGAAAATAAACAACCTGATTTAAAACGAGGCAAACAACCTAAACAGAAACCTCACCAAAGAAGGTATACAGATGGCAGATAGCACATGAAAAGATGCTCCACATTATATGTCATTATGGAATTGCGAATTAAAACAATATAAGATACAATTACATACCTATCAGAATGGCCAAAATCCAGAATACGGACAACACCAAGTGCTGGCCAGGATGTAGAGCAACAGGAACTCTCAATCACTGCTGGTGGGAATGCAAAATAGTGCAGCCACTTTGGAAGACTGGGGATTTCTTAAAAAACTAAACATACCCTTATCAAATGATCCAGAAATCCCACTCCTTTGTATTTGCCTAATGAGTTCAAAACTTTTGTCACACAAAAAACTTGCATGTAATTTTTTTTTTGCACATGATGTTTATAGCAGCTTCGTTATAATTGCCAAAACTTGAAAGCAGGCAAGAAGTCCTACAGTAAGTGAATAGATAAATAAACTATGGTTCATCCAATCAATGAAATATTCAGTGCTGAAAAGAAGTGAGTTATCAAGCCATAAAAGACATGGAGGAAACTTAACTGCATATTACAAAGTGAAGGAAGTCAATCTGAAAAGGCTACCTATTGTATGATTCCAACTATCCGGCATTCAGGAAAAGGCAAAACTATGGAGACAAAAAAATATCAGTGGTTGCTGGGGTGGGGATAGGTAGGGTTAAATGGGGAGAACAGGGACAGTAAAACTACCACATATGTATGTCATTAAACTTTTGTCTAAATCCATAGTTTGAACAGCACTGAAAGTAAACTGTAATGCAAACTGTTCACATTGAGTGATGATAGTGTATCACTATAGGTTCGTTGATGGTTACAAATGTACCATGTGGTGTAGAGTTTGATAGTGAGGCTGTGTTGTGTGGGGCAGGGGTAGTTATAAGAATTCTCTATAACTTCTCCTCAGTTTTGCCATGAAGACAAAACTGTTCTAAAAACAGTGCCTAATTCTTTAAGTGTTCATTTAAAGAGTCTTTATTTTATTTTAAAATTTGATTGAAGTATTAGTTGATTTACAATGCTGTGTTAATCTCTGCTGTACAGCAAAGTGATTCTGATATAGAATCACTATAGAGAGAGAGAGAGAGAGAGAGAGAGAGACTTCCCTGGTGGCTCAGATGGTAAAGAATTTTCTCACAATATGGGAGACCTGGGTTCAATCCCTGGGTTGGAAGATCCCCTGTAGGAGGGCATGGCAACCCATGCCAGTATTATTGCCTGGAGAAACCATGGGTTTATCCATGGGGGGTCACAAAGAGTCAGACACAACTGAGTGACTAAGCACACACACACATATATACACTCTTTTTCATATTCTTTTCCATTATGGCTTATCACTGGATATTGAATATAGTTCTCTGTGCTATCCAGTGGGTTTCCCTGGTGGTTCAGATGGTAAAGAATCTGCCTGCAATGCAGGAGACCATTATTTGATCCTTGCATCAGGAAGATCCCCTGGAGAAGGAAATGGCAACCCACTCCAGTATCCTTGCCTGGGAAATCCCATGGACAGAAGAGCCTGGCGGGCTACAGTCCATGGGGTTGCGCAGTCGTACATGACTAGGAGTCTTTCACTTTCACTCCTATACAGTATGACATTGTTTACCCATTCTCTATATAATAGTTTGCATCTATTAATCCCGAACACCCAATCCTTCTCTCCTACATCCCCCATCTCTCTTGGCAACCACAAGTCTGTTTCCTATGTCTGTGAGAGTGTTTCTGTTTGTGTTGTATTTTAGAGTCCACATATAATATCATATGGTATTTGTCTTTCTCTTTCTGACTTCCCTTAGTATGATAACCTTTAGGTCCATCTATGTTGCTGTCAATGGCAATGTTTCATTCTTTTTTTTATGACCAAATAATAATCCATCATCTATATATATATATATATATGGATTATATATATATGGATTATTATATATATATATGGATTATTATATATATATGCTAAGTTGCTTCAGTCACGTCTGACTCTTTGCGACCCCATGGACTGTAGCCCGCAAGGCTCATCCATCCACAGGATTCTCCAGGCAAAGATCCTGGAGTGGGTTGCCATTTTCTACTCCAGAGGATCTTCCCTACCCAGGGGTTGAAACTGTACCTCTTGTACCTCCTGCATTGGCAGGTGGATTCTTTACCACTAGTGCCACCTGGGATACATCTTCTTTATCCATTTGCCTGTCAGTGGACATTTAGGTTGTTTCCATGCCTTAGCTATTGTGAATAGTGCTTCTATGAACATTGGGGTGCATGTTTCTTTTCAAATTACAGTCTTCTCTGGATACATGTCCAGGAGTGGGATTACTGGATCATATGACAACTCTATTTTTAGTTTTTTGAGAAAACCATCCTGTTCTCCATACTTGCAGTACCAATTTACATTCCCGCCAACAATGTTTTCCTTTTCTCTACACCCTCTCCAGCAATTATTTATTATTTATAAGAGCTTTTATTTTAAAAGTGAAAATTCAAAGGGACAGAAATATGCCTAAATTGTAAATAACTGGCAATTAATCAGTTTCTGGAATTCATAAAGAAATTTTCATCAAGAGATACAAGAAATAATCCATTTTAACCACAGAAAGACAGGCTCTGTGATCAGGCAGTCACCCAAGGGACCCACAAAGCGACAATAACCATAAGACAGAGGATCACCCACACAATTTCAGAAACCTGCAGAATGAAAAGAACAATGGGAACAGTTTTCTCAGCCCTCAGAGGAGCAAATATCACAGGAGCAATCACCCTGGTGACAGGGTTAGAGGAACAAGACTGCCCTCTCTGGTGGCTACACAGGCTCTCCTGGGATGGAGGGAAGTGAGGATGACTCAGCAGTTTTATTTCCTGGTGGGCTGAGGCTCATGGGAAATATGGAGCCCAGTGCACCATGGGAAACGGCTCTTTATATGTTCAGTCAGGATCCCTTCCCTCCTTTCCACACGTGTACCCACAGGAGCGTGGTACCAAGCTGGGTGAGAACCCCTTGAAGTAAAAGAGTGAGGCCTACAGACTAACAGTGTGAGGCTTGGAGCCTGCAGTGCCAGTGTGGTCCAGCATGGCCTCAGGTCAAACAGGCTAGCTCAGGTGGGGGTGGTTCAGTTAGGCTCCTTCAGGTTTTATAAGGTTCAGGTTCTGACAGATATCTCAGGTTCTGTCAGTTTCCATCAGGTTCTGACACATTCTGTCAGGTTCCCTCAGGTTCTGACAGCTCTATCAGATTCCAAGAGGTTCTAACTAGTTCTGTCAGGTTCTGTTAGATTTGGTCAGGTTCTGACCAGCTCCCTTGGGTTCTGATATTCTCTCAGGTTCCAATAGGTCCCTTCAGGTTTTTTCAGGCTCTATCAGGTTCTGTTAGTTTTCCTCAGGTCTTCTCATTCTCTGGCAGGTTCTATTGGATTTGGTGAGATCTGACAGGACCCTCATGTTCTGACTGATTCTCTGGTTCTGTCGGGTTCTGACAGATTCCATCAGGTTCTGTCAGATTTAGTCAGGTTCTGTCAGATTGGACAGATTTGGTCAGGTCTGACAGGATCCCTCAGGTTCTGACTGATTCTCTCAGATTCTGTCAGGTTCAGTCAGGTTTTGTCAGATTTGTTCAGGTTCTGACAGATTCCCTCAAGTTCTCACAGATTCTCACAGGTTCTAATAGGTATTATCAGATTTGGTCAGGTTCTGACCAGCTCCCTCAGGTGCTGACATTCTCTCAGGTTCCAACACGTTCTTTCAGGTTTTGTCAGTCTCTGGCAGGTTCTATCAGATTTGGTAAGATCTGCCAGGACCCTCACGTTCTGACCAATTCTCTGGTTCTGTCAGGTTCCCTCAGGTTCTGTCAGATTCAGTCAGATTTGGTCAGGTCTGACAGGATCCCTCAGGTTCAGACTGATTCTCTCTGTCGGGTTTTGACAGATTTCCTTAGGTTCTGATAGATTCCCTCAGGTTCTGACCAATTCTGTCAGATTCTGTCAGGTTCAGGCAGGTTTTGTCAGATTTGGTCAGGATCTGACAGGTTCCCTCAGGTTTTCACACATTCTCAGGTTCCAACAGGTTTTGTCAGACTTGGTCAGGTTCTGTCACATTTGGTCAGATTTGTTCAGGTGCTCACAGTTTCCCTCAGTTTCTGACGGATTTTGACAGATTCTCTCAGGGTCTGATCAATTTTATTTGTCAGGTCCTGACAGGTTTCCTTTGGTTCTGACAGATTCTCTGAGGTTCTGACATGTTCTCTCAGGTTTTGTCAGATTTGGTGTGACTCTGACAGGACCCTAAGGTTTTGATTGATTCTCTCTGATTCTATTAGGTTCTGATAGGTTTCCTTAGGATCTAATAGACTCTCTCAGGTTCTGAAAGTTTCCCTCAGGTTTTGTCAGATTCGGTCAGATTTGGTCAGGTTCTGACGGATTCCTTTAGGTTCTGACCGATTCTCTCGGGTTCTGTCAGATTTGGTCAGATTCTGACAGGACCCTCAGATTCTGAGTGATTCTTTGTGGTTCTGTCAGGTCCTCAGGTTTTGTCAGATGTGGTCAGATTCTCCTCCCTGTGTGACTTGCTCCCTCCTGCCTGCTGGGGGCGCCCTAACCTCACTGCTTTTCTTTGCAGCTCCCAGAGGACCGAGCCCTGGCATCAGCAGAAGTTATTTCCAGAGTTTCTTCGCTCCCAACCTCTACAGGTCCCTGTTGGATTGGGACCCAGTTCATCCACACCCACCCCAAATTCTTCTCCTGGTGATCTTAACTTTCTCCTCTGTTCTCTTGCCCCTCCTCCCTGACCTTTGCTCTTCTGTGCTCCCTTCTGTGGGCCAGACCGTCTAAGATCACAGCTAGTCCTGCTCCTGCTGTCTCTCTCTCAGGAGGCAGGCAGCTTGGCCATGTGCCCTCCAGTCAGCAAGCGGTATGAGGCAGAAGGCATGTCCTATCTCCATGCATCCTGGATGTATCAGCTTCAACATGGCAGCCAGCTAAGGATCTGCTTTGCTTGTTACAAGGCTGCCTTTCTGGACCTTAAGCAGCAGCTAGAGTTAGAAGACTGGGAAGATGGAGATTGGGACCCTGAGCTTATGGATAACTCAGAGACAGGGTCTGAGCAAGGGTCATCCCCAGGGATGGGGCCAAACTGGCCGCAGGGCCTATGGCAGCCTGCACAGGGCGAGTCTGTGGGCTGGGGATTGGACACCCTGGCATCAGGCCCTGTGGAGTCAGAAGACATGGACCTAGATGATCACTTTGTGCCCACCGAGCTGCAGCCTCAGGATGCGGTACCCCTGGACCTGGATGCTGAAGATGCTGACTGGACCCAGGGCCTTCCCTGGAGATTTGGGGGAATCCCTACCTGTTCCCACTGGCCAAGCCCCTCTGTTCCATGGGAGGGGTTTTTCAAAGTGGACTTGCCTCCAGGAGAGCCCATGGTTTTGGAGCTGGGCACCACCCAGGACATGGACCCTGTTGAGGCTGAAGCCTGTTTACTGGACCTGCAGATCCTCTCCCTAGTGGGCTGCTATGATGCTGTCTACCTCCAGAAGATGAAGCCAAAAAGGGTCCAAATGACCTCAGATCAGTGTTGGAAACTGCTGCTGGAGCCTGATGAGGTGTGGGTGGTGAGACTCCAAGATGCACCCCAGAAGCAGGAACTGCACCTCTGGAAGCTAAGCATTCTGGAATCCTCCCTTCCAGGGCAGACTGAAGAGCTGGTGCCTGCAGATTCAGCCCTGCTTAAGAGGGGATTCACCATCCTTTCTTATTCACCCTGGGCCAAGAGGAAGTCTGAGGAGGGGGACTCAGCCTCTAGGCCACAGTCCTCCACCCAAGGAGCGGATGCCAGCACCAGTGGGCCCATAGAGCCTGGGGAGAAGCTGGCTGCTGTGGGAGCCTCGGCCCTGGGAGAGCTGCCACGTTTCCAGCCCTTCAACCCAGGGTCCCAGAACTGAGGGACTGAGGTCCACATGGTCACCATGTCCTGGCCTCCCCAGAACATCAGAGGCTAGAAGGACTGATCGCTCCACAGCAGCCAGGGTAGGCATTAGCAATGGATGGCGACTTGGGCCTGGGGAGGAAGAATGGTGAGTGGCCAGAGGTTAAGAAATGGGACCTACCACAGCCTAACAAGGAAACAACACAAATATCAGTATTGAGGAGAGAAGCCACCTATCATGGAGTTAGGAGCATGAAGCCGACAAGGATGCGCTGGTGTGAACGACTGCTGTAGAATGTGGCATGAAGAGCAGGGTGCAGAGCCGTGCCCTTGACTTGTAGAGAAATGTCATGGGTGGGATACATACTCTCAGTCTTGGGTGACGGGGTCACCAGGTGGTCTCTGGGTCTCCACAGGACCCTGTCAGCAGCACTGGACATTCTGGTCTGTAGTGAGAGAAGGCCTGGTTTTAAATGTTGGCCTTTTAATGCAGTTTGACAGTTTAGTTCTTGTTTTTTTTAATTTAATAAAGTATTAAGAGTTGTGCATCAAAGCCCTGTCTTGATTCATCCTCAGCTAGTCCTTATTGTCTAAATGTCCCAGTCAAGTCACCTTTACAGATTTAAGTCCCCTGGAAGCAGGGGACAGAGAGGGGAGCAGCACAGGCCAGATGAGGATTCTGGTCAGTTTTTTGGCTCCTAGTGCTTACAGGTATTTATCACATTATTTGTAAACAACAAATATATACACACATGCTTAAAATAACAAAGGGCCATACTTTGAACAATGAGACTGTGTCATCAAATGCAGATTTTAGTCAATCTAAATTTGTGCCCCTGATATTTAAAAACAAGCAAAAAAACTAGAGGTAGAACCATACACAAAAATTGCTAATAATGTTCATGACACGGGGGAGGGAAATGGGGGACCATGTGCATCAGTCTCTCCATTCTTTGCACAGACTTACAGGAGAAGGAAGCTTTGGAGGTCTTGTCCAAGTGCTAGGAAGAAGCTCTTAATTGGCGACTTCTCTTCCTTATAAACAACCAATCTAGAGGGTTCCACAATCCTCCGCTGGAAGTTTCTGGTTAGCAGAGCCTCCAGTGATTCAAAGATGAGCTGTGTCCCTTTCAGTGAAAGATGCCAGTCTAAGGGTCTACTCAAGGTGTGGGAGTTGGGGAGTTGCTGCCATGTTAGGTATTGACATAGCAGTAAGGTCCTTTCATTGACATTTGGGAACAGTCTTTTTCTCTCATATCTTTCAGATGTGAATCTCCAGGCAGGTCTTAAAGACATCTGATGCTAATTAGATGGAGGGAAGGCATTGATACAGCAGTCACTCAAAACACTTCATTTCAACATGATCTCATAACTCTGTAGGCATTTATCAACTTGGAGTCTGTATTTGAATACACATCTGGCTCTTCTTCCAAATAAAGAGTGTGATCTTGCCTTCACCCCCTCCTTTCTCTGTCCCTCCAGGTTAAACAGTCCATTTATTCATGGCTCCAGCAAACCCTTGTTTGAGGCAGGCTATCTTTTTTTTTTTTAATGACCCAGCTGCTTTGCAGTACTGCGGTGATGCTGAGGTCAGGAGGAGGCAGCCCTGAAATAGCACCCAAGCAAGAGTCCCAGCTCTTTGCCAAGAGGCTACAGCTAGTTCCTCAGCTCTTCTCATCTGAAAATGGGGAAAACATCAATTCACAAGGTAATGGTGAAGATGAAATAAGATCAGGTGTATCCTAAAAAAAATTAGACATATAATTTCCATATGACCCAGCAATTCTACTCCTAGGTATATACCCAAATAATTTAATAACATATACCCACATGCTTATAACAGCATTATTCACAATAGCCAAAAGGTGGAAACAACCCAAAAGTTCATCAACTGACAAATGGAGAAACAAACTGTGATCTAGCCATACAGTGGGGTATTATTATTCAGCCATAAAAAGAATGAGGCTTCCCTGTTGGCTGAGTGGTAAAGAATCCACCTGCCAATGCAGGAGACACAGATTCGATCCCTGGGTTGGGAAGATCCCCTAGAGAAGGAAATGGCTACCCACTCCAGTATTCTTGCCTGGGAAATCCCATGGACAGAAGAACCTGGTGGGCTACAGTCCACAGGGCTGCAAAAGAGTAGGACAGGACTGAAGCGACTAAAGCAAAAATGAAAAGGAGTGACGTTCTGATGCTGCAACATGGATAAATCTTGAAAACTGTGATAAGTGAATGGAGTTGCCACAAAAGAGTTTGCATTGTATAATTTCACTTATGTGAAATACTCAGAGTAGGCAAATCCATGGAAACAATAGCAACGAATGGTTGCCAGAGACTGAGGGAAAGGGGGAGGAGGAAATAATTGCTTAGTGGGTATAGGGTCTCCTTCTGAGGTGATGAAAATATTCTGGAACTAGATGGAAGTAATAGCTGCACAATATTGTGAAAGTACTACAAGCCACTGAATAGTTAACTATGTTATGTGAATTTCACTGCAATTAAAAAAAAATCAAAAGTAAAATATGTAGAACATTGGCCCAGAGTAGGGGTAATTGTCTGTTCTCTTTTTGGAGGACCTGTGAAGAACAGTGCCAACAATACCCCCAGCCCCTCCATACCGCTCCAGTGTGAATTAATCCACTCTTTCCATTAAAACAGCAACAGTCAACTTGGGCCTTTAGTGGAGACTTTGGCCTTCCCACTGTATACAATTACATGGTGATTTTCTCTCAAATCCAGCAGCAGCACAAATAATTATGCTTATTGCATTCACAGCCTGGGCGCCTGTGGAGGAATATTCCTGTCAGGTGTCCCAAACAGCATTAAAAGTAATTTGTCATTGATCAGCAATTCAAATTTAACTGGATTCTGTACTTTATCAGTCAATGGCGCGCCGGCCCCAGGAGGTCAGACCTGGTGTGAGACTCCGTGAGGAACTAGGCCGAGAGCACTGGAAAAAGCACAGGACAGATAGGGTGGGGTCCAAAGGGAAGGGAGAGGGCACGGGCATGTGGCATCCCACCGTCTGTGGTGCAGGCCCCTTCCAGAAACATCTGCTGCAGTGCTGGCAGCATTCCCAGCCCTGGGAAGTGCCGCAGAGAGGGTTGTACAACGTACGCCATGGTTTTTCCAAACCACCCTGAGAGCAGCTGCCCATCAAGTGAGGTGGGGGTGGGGACCTATGACCCCAGAGCTTCTGGTATTTCTGAAGGAAGCAGGAGGACAGGACTGGCCAGATCTCCTGCTATTCTGTGCAGGGAAGGAGCTTGATGGACACGATCAAGATGCGTGTCCATGTCGCTGACCACAACCAGGCCTGGGGCTCCTCCCGCCTCTGAGGGACCTGCTCCAGTCCAAGTCAACCCTGCCCCTGGGGCCTGGGGGCATCTTTGTGTTGCAGGAGCCTCTGTTTCTGCGGTGGTCCGTGATCTCCAGTGCCCAGACCCTGGGCCCTTGGTGGAAACACTGCAGGAAGGATGAAGTGTCTCCACAAATTGTCCTGCCACAGCAATGATTTCTGTGTTGGGGGCAACATGGGTGAAGCACGTGCTTTCAGGAAAGGGGTTCCTGCCCCAACCTACAGACAGAAATCTGCTAACGTTTCTGGGGCTTCTTTAGAAGTATCTGTGTTAGGCAGGGAAGACAACTACAGACTGAGACTTCCCTACCCCAACCTCAGGCACCCCCTCACCAGCTGAAGGCTGGGCTACAGTCACTGCTAGCACCTGAGGAGGTGACATGGGGTCCAGATGTGGCCTGTTCCCGTGGGGGCCCTAGCATGGTATGAAGGAGGCGTGCACCCCCTCCCCTGCAGCCTGACCCTCTGAAGGCCCAGGTCTCGGGGCCTCTGGGCCTTGTGCTATTGCTGCTGATGGGCCACAGCCTGACCTGCACAGGCCACAGTAGCACAGGGCAGATGTCCAGGCACCCAGGACCTCACTTCACGAGGGGACGTTTGACCACTCCTTGGCTTGAGCTGAGACTGTGGCCTGTTCCAGCTTTAATCGCTGTCTTCTGGGGGCTTCAGCCTTGTGCCTAGCAGGTCATACCACACGGACCCCTAAGATTTAGGAGAATCACGTCCCCCTGCCATGTCCTAGCAGTCCCACAGCACAGAGAGCCCCCTCCTCCAGGACCCCCTCCTAGACCAGCCCCCCTCTGTGGTTAGAGGGGATATCTGTCTCTTCCCCTCACTAAGCCAGGAGCCAAACACAGCCCAGATGCAGCTGCCTTTCTGTCTTGGGAAGCCACATGAAAGGTGACCGTGGCTCTTCTCCTTACTAGACCGAACATTTCTTAAAGGCAGGGGCCATGGCGTCACCTTCGTCTTCATCGCCATCATTGTCTTGACCACCAGTGGTTACTGAGAGCCACCAGCACTAACAAGCATAAACTCCTTTAAAGCTCTCAACATCGGATGAGATAACGTCTACTTTTAGTCACATTTTACAGATGAGGAAACTGAGGCACAGAGAGACGGTAGTTCCCCTGAGGCCACGCAGTGGCCCAGGGAAGGCACCCAGATCCACACTGAGGCAGCTGGCGTCCAGACGTCCTTGGCCATTTCCGTATCTGGTCCAGGGCTCTCTGCCTGACTCTGGTCAAAATCTAGCCCTAGGAAAGGCCAGATTAGTTGATGTGTATGGCGTGGAGAACCACAGAGCCTTTCAGAGGGCGAGTGAGCTCATATCTGTCAGGTTAAGAGAAAAAATAAAATGCAAAAAGATAGGTACAGTATGTTCCATTTACAAAAATGTTAAAGCACATTATGAACTGCACATGGAAAAGACATGATCGAAAACAAAGTCTGGGAGTCACCACAAAGTCAGGACAGCGGTGCCTCTGGGGAGAGAGTAGAATGGGAACTTGGAGGACTGGGGATGCATAATTTCCTTAAACAACCATTGGAAGCAAATATGGAAAAATACCATCACTTGAGCTAGACAGAGGCACCCAGGTGTATGTTATGTACTGAGTGAAGGTAAAAATACTGCCAGTGCTGATCGTGGTGCTGCTGCTGCTGCTGATGGTGATGGAGGTGGTGGTAAAGTTGATGGTGATGATGGTCCTGGAGATTTTTAAACCTAAAGTCTATCTGAGTGTGCGCTTAAATACTCCAGGAGAGACCTGTAGGAACAGGGACCCCCTATCTCAGATTCTGGCTGCAGCAGAGGTGCCTCCATTAGTTTAGAGGCCCAGGCAACCCACTCCACTGCTGTTTTCAGGGGTGGGACTAAAGGGCCTCACAAAGGTGGGGCCCTGACCTTCTGGTTTCCCAAGGAGGCAGGAAGGAGCGTGATGGCCATGCTGAGGGGAGCAGGGCCTCTGTACTCTGCTAC